TGTGCCACTCGCACAGTAAAGTTGCTTATGTACTTCTAGAACAACGCGTCCGAATATCAGATAGCGAATTGTGAAGCAACCATGCACAAAAGGCAAGAGCTATGTAAAACCCAGAGCTTCTCCGTGTAAAACACGTTTGTATTTTTAAGGGGTGCTTGTTTGCCATTGCCTGCTCACCGTGACCCGCCCCAGTCAACGACGGATAGGACCAAGAAGATCATGCCAAACTAGACCTATACGACACGGAATAGATGTACAATAGACCGTCAAGGTGCGTCAGAGCGTACATACGAGACACTGTGTCCCAAACAATACCACTACATCATTCCAAATTCAGCATCTCATTGCTTGATGGGGGGGGGGTCTTCTATTTGTCTATAGAAGCCTGATATGCATCAAAACAAGCTAGCAATGAGCTCGTCGGCCGTATTGAGTATCTCATTGCTTCATTTGAAAATGGCAACACAATCTGAAATGGTAGCATTCTTCCAAGTTTAAAAAAATCTGAAGCTGTTGAGAGCATTCAAAATGCTTCTAGCAATGAACCGTCGACTAGGCAATAGTGTCTGTTGGCTTCCACCAATAGGTTCACACACCAGCTAGTGAAGTCACGTGCTTTGGGTGATGATTCATGCTCTAAACACTCGACATATTATCCCTCAAATACAATACAGGCAATTCCCTATATTTATTCACATGGTTGTTAGCGAGTCGTTTTGATACCGTGATGAGTACTCAGTGACTCACTTTATCTACAAAAATCGCCCAGCTTCAGGCAGAGTCTCCAGCCATCGCAACACATGAAAGTGACTATTCTCACGGGCCGTTTCCACAACCGCCTCGAATCCAAAATGTCTTCGGTCGTGACCATACAGCCATTGCAGTAGTTGTAGCTCTCCTCTTGTTGCTGCATCCAATGCGTTGGGCAGTCGAGAGCGAAGCCGTTTGTGATCTTTCAAAAATTGGAGCACCGCAACTGAACGCGACTCTCCTGCCATCGCTGTGCAGTACTCACCCCTGTACTTGTAGAGGAATTTCACCACCTCTAAGTGGCCATGACGCGCAGCATCATCCATAGCTGCAGTAGTGCAGCCTTCTTTGCGGTTCTGGTGAAGGAACTCCACTACATCCAAATACCCGTTGGCTGCAGCTCGGTTCATCGCTGCTACAGTGCACTTCGAGCCCTCTACATTTCCGTGCAGCCAACGCACAATAGGCAAAAATCCACCTGCAGCAGCGTCGTCCATGGCATGGGCTGTAAATCGATATCCTTGATAGTGTAGCCATTGGACGAACTGTAGATCTCCAAATGCTGCAGCCCCATCGACTCGAATCCGATGACGTTGACGTGTCAGAGATTCAAAAGTCTGTTCCATCCACTCGATGATCACTTTGTGGCCTCCTGCAGCAGCGCCACGGACCACATGCGCTCGACGACAATGAACTGGGTATTTGTGTTCATGCAGCCATTGTAGCACATCTAGATGGCCCTCCTTCGCTACTCTATACAGTTGGTTGGTGTCAATCTCAAACCTGAAGCGTCGATTATACAAAGCCGCCTCAGCCGACGCTCGATCATGCAGCCACTGCAGAATCCGACGCTGTCCGTACGTCACAGCAGCTGTCAATGCTGCTTGCGTCCACGAGGTATAAGCCACTTCCACTGTATGCATCACGTACTGGACAATCTCCAAGTGTCCTCCAGCAATAGCGTTCTCCAGCGACTGGAAGGTCCTGATCTCGTAGTATCGGGAATTATTGAGCCACTTTACGACGTTCAAATGCCCATTTAACGCCGCTCTTTCGAGTCCACGTCTTGTGCAGCGATTTCCCAACACATTGTCTACATATTGGACGATATCCATGTGATTGTGAGCTACTGCTGCGTCCATGACGTTCCACCCGAAGGCGTATGGACCCTTCATCTCGCAGTACCATTGCACGAGGTCCAGGCGGCCATTGGCTGCTGCATGTGCAATAGCATCCTGACTGTCGACGGCCGCGTCGTCCACCATCTTATTGCTAAATTCGTCGTGGAGATAACGCAACATTTGCAGATTCCCACTATAAAGAGCTGCTCTCTCTGCGCCACGGAATTTTCCCTTGGGGTAGTACTTGGAGCGTAGCCACCTCACACCAACGAAGAAGCCTCGCGCAGCAGCGTTATTTAACGCCGTCTCGAACTGATACTGTTTGTAGCTGCGCTTCAGTTCTGACGACCAATAGAACAGCTTCTTCTTCTCGCGCGATGCGGCGTGTTCTAACAGCGTTAAGGACTGTGAGTCCAGAGGCTGGTTCTGTGCGGCCACAGCGACGGACAAGACCTTGGACACGTCCAGGAGCGCCTTGATTTGGGTGATTACATGGTCAAGGCCTTCCACTTGAGGGAACTCGCGCACCACGACGTCCACGCAGAGGAATGCTGGACGGTAAGAGGAGGAGGCACTTGCCATCGAATTACGATGATGTCTGGCTTGCTTACCGTATCAATGAGAATGGTGTGGACAACATAAATACTGAGAAACGGATACAGACGATCCCCTCGGTAGTAATCCCAAGAATGGAATTCTCCCTCAATAGAAATAAATCACTGGTTCCTGTTGACCAGTCACTTACAAACCGAAGATATTATTCCCTCTCACCCCTCAATCGTAAAATGGAATACATTTGAAGTCAAATATTTCTATTCTGGGGTGCTTACCTATGGAAAAAGCCATAACTGCACAAGAGCATTTGTTGCTGCCACGATCCGAATGTTGAACTAAAAACAATTTACTCGGTTATGTGCGATTTATTAAACCCCCAATCGTCATTTTGAGCGGGCCAAAGAAATATTTATTAATGTACAACTTGAATCACGTATAATACTTACCCGTTAATGCCATGGTAGGCCCATACCCTACCATCCAAAGC